TTTTTCTATATATATATATATTAAAAATATATATAATTAACACAATTCTTTATGTATTTAACTAACCGTACCCTGCATATTTTTTTTCAAAATCGGGAGGAAGCGATTCACCTAAGGAACGTCTCTTCTCAGCTTCTCCGTTCATTTCTTTCAATTTCTTTACTTTATTCTTCTTGGTTGTTAATATCTTATTCACTTTGACCATAAGTTCAAGTAACTTGAGTGGAAAGCCATTCACTGTACCACCAGTATTCGTCTTTTTCGGAATGGAGACAGATGCGTTCGATATTAAAGGGTCATTGGTCAATCGCGGAGATAACTTCATCATGTATGGTGATGAAGGTGCATATTGCAAAGGCCGTGGTCTGAACTTCTGGGAGAATGATGTCAAGCTGATTGTCTCCGGTGGTTCATTCGACTAGTTGAAACAAATCATATATTAATATTATATATAAATATAAACGTAGACATTTTCCTCGGAGAGAACAAGAGACATACCAAAACTTCATAATCAGGGACACTATGCGTCCCAAGTCCAGCTCTCTCAAACGTAATTCTGTAAGTATTATTACTGGTATCAACAGCGTCGATGCTTCCAGTGAATAAACCATCCTGCGGTTTCCTTAATCTTGCTGTCACTTTCGTACCGATTACTAATTGCAATGGTATTTCAGGTGGCAGATCCTTGAAACTGCTTATATCTGCCGTCTTTCTCTGCTGTAACATACGTATTTTCTGCCTCTTCCTCTCTAGTTCACGTCTCTCCTCCTCGAAGAACGACTGCGAACATCTTCGCGGCTTGCCCATCATCCTTCTAATCTTGCACCATTCCACACGCGTGAGTTTGCGACTTTTCAATTGTGGAAACGATTCTTTCAAGCATATCATGAAGTCATTATCGCCCTCAAATAACACCCTATAAGAAAAAACATTATATGGAATATTAGGAAAATTAATATATCTCCAATATCATTATATAAAAATCTATATTATTAGTATTACTAATAAAATAATACTAAAAAATATAGATAAATATAGATAAAATAGAAATACAGTAATTATATTTATACATACTTATCTATATTGCTGTAAAACCATTCGTAACAGACCCATTTATGCGCCTTTGGTAGCTTTAACAAGTTTCTTAATCTCATGCCAATTTTCTGTCCTATTTTACGATCCGGCGATGTAAGTTGTGATAGTTTATCAGGCTCCTTCTCTTGCTTGATTGGAGTCATTATAGGAGTTGTTGGTTGCGATTGCGAAGATGAACTTGTACTTTTTGGTGTAGTCGATATCTTGGTCTGTCTCTTTACTGGTGACGGTCGCATCATCTTTTTGGGGGATTGTTTCGTGTCAACAGCCGAAGGATCCTTCTTGATTCTGTAAACATTATTATACATCAATGAATTCGAAAAAAAAATCGTTTAATTCAGGATTGTCACAAAATTGAAAATAAGGGATATAGGGAAATTTAAACGGTCAAGGAAATCAAGAAAAAGTCAAGGAATTTTGCAGTTTCTTGAAAAATTAAAATTCCTGGCTTTAAAGAAATTTAGTGCTGCAATTATCGTTTTTCTACCTGTCTGATTAATTATATTTTTTATTTTTAATCATAAAAAAAGTAATTCACCTGTGGTGTGGATGATTGATCAAGATGTCATCATAGAACAACTTGTTCTTTTTCCTAATTCTCGCTGGCATCCCTCTACGATTCAATACCTGTACCGGTTGTGTAGGTGGATTGGGTTTGGAAGGTGGCTGAGTGCCTACCCTTTGCAGACCTAAAGCTGCAGGTCCTAGCTCTGGTATCGGTTCTGACTCCTCTGTATCCATTTGCTGATCCGAGTGATTCAAATTATGCTGCTCATCCATATCCATCGTATCATCTTCAATCTCAGTTTTGATTTCATCAATGGATGGATATCCACCATTTTTTATGGAAAGTAATGCTTCTGCAGATTCACCTAAATAAATTTGTTTAAAATCATTACATGCACATGCGATATTAAATGGAGAAATAATTTTTTCTGATATAAAATGCATGTCACATGTCATGATTTGCAAATAAACTTATCTTACTTAAGTAAGAATTGTTTCAATAATTACATATTATCGGTAAAGATTGACAATATTATATCTAAGAGTTATATAAATTAATATCACGCCAAAGAACAAAATTGAGAAATTAAAAAAAAACATATACCTAAGCTGAGACTGCATAACAATAATCAACGTATTCGCGACAAAATATAAAAGCGAGAATCCAATTACGGGCGACGAGGAAACGTATATAATCATCCCTTCAGTCTGAGGGTAAAATTCCGAGAGCGTCGAATTGGCGGTACGACAAATTCGCGAGGGAATATCGACCGTGCTTCATCAGCACAGCAGGAACGACATAACCAAACTCAGGAGGGGATGTTTGATAAACAGTCCGCGCGGGTGGTCGGACTCGCGGTGGCCGTCGCCGCAGGTCAACGCTGCGGATCGGCGCGACATACAGGCACTCCGCCGTCGGGCTCGGCCACGGGGTAACGTCGCACGCGGAATTCACAGCGGAATCCCGCTTGAATCGTGTGTTGGCGATTTTTGAAATTTTAAACCCGATCCGCACCCAATCACCGTTCGAACGGCGATTGCGGACGGCACGGGAGCGCTGGCAGCGGCGCGGTCCGCCGAACCGCTAAATCGGGAACGCGGATTCCGCGGCGTCGATCGTCGTGATCGCCCGCGGACACTCGCCCCGTTAATTTTCTCGAAAATAAACGCAAAGTTTACTCACTTTCAATCACGTCCGCCATGTTGACAATCAGTGATGCATCATGGGTACGTACTTCCGACTCTATCGGGTTCATCGGTCCGCCATCTCGTGTAGCCAGACCTGGTTGGCGATTGGCGCCGTCCCGGAAGTCACACGACACCTCGGCATAAGCGGGGTAAAGTACGCAAAAATCCGCGATTGCGATGAATTCTCGATCTCCAAAATATTCTGCGCGGTGATTAGTCGAACAACAATGCACTGCTTTCTCTCGAGATGTTCCGGTAGTGAAGGATTTATTTCTCAAATCAATAAATAATTATATACAAGCTTTTTTATTTTGGATAACGTATAATTAAGCGGTAGACTTTAGCGGCGAAAATAAGTTAACCTCTTCGTTTTTTAATACGATTTTTATTAAGCTTGCGCGAGGAGCTCTAGTTAAAAATTTGAACCTTGTGATTACTCTTTTTTGTTTAAAGTATCACTTAAATTAATACACCTTGTACAATCACTTCTATTAATAAACATCTGAATGTATAAGTAATTCCGTAATTCTTTGTAGCTGCATTAAGATGCAATTTTAATTAAAATAAAGAATTTGCATAATTAGATGTTTGAAAAGAAAAGGAGAAAAAAGAGAAAATAAGTGCAAAACATAAAAAGTTTAGCTACAATTAGTTTGCATCCATTTTCTCTTTTCTTTTCTGTTTTCAATGTCCAATTATGTACATACATGCTATATTTTAATTGAAATTGCATTGCAGCTACAAAGAACGGAATTATTTATACATTAAAATGTCCATTATTAAAAATAATTTTGTAAGTTCTGCACTTACTATGAAATAAGGTATATAGTTAGTCGTTGGAAAGAGAAAGAGAAGAGATGAAAAGTGCAGCTACATGCGCATTGGCATGCGCAGTTTCTTCGCAGTTTACTTCAAGTACTACGCTTTAATAGACGACGCTTCTTCGTTTGTATTTTAATTTTCTTGAATTTTTCAAAACTATGTACGTCGTTTGGATCATTATTGCGTCTGTAACAAGTAGAAATTGCGTGGCTACTGATGGTACGCTTGTAAACATTAATAAGTACTGCAGAGATAAAGACAGATTGATTACGTCTGAGGAGAATGACGAATATTTGCTCATCGCTGCTGAGAATAATACGAATATTATGCTAGCGTGTCGCTTTTGGTAAGAATTGTTAAAATACACAATTAGAACAAATAAAGTAATATGTCTATAAATTCACAAAAAAGCGATACCTTTCTGTTTATTACTTAAATTAACCTTCCGTCTACTATCTGGATTTTTAGCACAAGCGAAATTTTGCTTTCAAAAATTTCTCTTAAAATCTTCGAAATAAAGGAAGGTGGAATCCCAGTTCTCTTACTAATATTGCTATATATTTTTAAACAAATTCCGTTTTTTTTTCATTTTGCTCAAATTTCAATTTTTATTAAATATAGATTTTATTTGAGCTAAAAAACTATTTGGTGATGGATTAGAGATATTGACAAGTAATTCTTGAATTTTTTCGTATTCTTTAAAAGCCTAGAACAAAAAACTTGAGCAGAACAAAGAAAATCCATATTGCAGACAAAAAAATTAAAAATATGATTGCAGATGGAAGATTAAACAAGTTTAAAAGCGATTTTGATCAAACTCTTATTTAATTGGTCAATTTGTCAAATAATATGTGTAAGGGAAGAAAAATTAAATTAGTAACAATGAATTGTACAGTTATAAAATTTTATTTTAAGCACTTCTATCAATTGAATTCATTATCTATTAAATTAATGAAGTTTAAGTTACCTAATTTAAATTAAAGTTTTTTTTAATTAACTTAGTTAATTATTGTGATATTTTTTCGGAACATGAGAAATACGTTTTCCTAAAGAATAAATTTCTTGATAAATTATTGGGAATATTGGGATCTAAATTTTCGCAGAAGCAATGACCATGAGGAACCTCAACCAAAAATTTGGTATTATCAAGATCGTTATCAAGAAAATCCTGAAAAGGAAGTTGAGTTGGAAATGGATAATAACATTTCGTACAGTAGAATCTATACAATGCCGGATCTTTCTCTAGTCGTGAAAAGCTTCACAGTTATTGATGCTGGCATTTATCGATGTCATGGCAAAGAAGGACAAGAGGAAGAAAAAAAATATAATTATAGGATCGAACGTAAAATAATATGGCAATTGATATAATATTTTTGATTTTGTTGAAATATTACATTATGTTGAAAATATATTTCAACACTTAGCTTTACTTTTAATGACAAATTCTTACTAAAATTTTTTTTACTAATTATGATATTTTTCTTATTACATTAAATTCGAATTAAAATGTTAACTTCAATTATTCCGCCTTTATTATAATTTTTTTGATGTTTATTGTATATCCATATTTCATCAATATTTATATTAATATTTATCAGTTTTGAATATTAAAATTAATATTTAATTTTGTTGGATAGCACTTCTCAAAGATATTGGCGGAGAATTTTTAGAAGAAGGAAACATAACAGAATGGGGAAAGTATCAAGAAATATATTTATGGCCTGTCAATACGAAATTTGCGGTGAGTTAACAAACTCTTAGTTGATTATAAGAAAGATTACAAAATATACATTACATATGTCCTTTTATTTAAACAATGAATGGATAGAGAATTATTTTATTAATAATTTTTTTTAAGAATCGCGTTACGACAAGATTAACAATTTTTTAAGTTAACGTGATTTCAAAAAAAGGAATCTTCCGGCAGGTCTCGAAAATGACTGACTTAGCAGAAATTCGTGAAGAAGGGGTAATTCTTCAGGTAATATCCGAATGGGGTTCCTGGAGTCTATGCGGACAATGTATAAATAATCGCGGTATTAAAACCAGCAGGGGCTACTGTAGATTAAAGCGCGATATAAATTCGGTGAGTGCTATGTGTATTTTTAATCTTTACATAATCAAACATTAACAATTTTATAATCTTTTATCGTTATTTTATTAATTACTTTATTAATATCTATTTTTAGACGATGATAAAGAAAAATGATTCAATCATTATACATTTTTTCCGAGGATCTCCGATGCTACCTTGCAAGTAAATGTCTATAATTTCAAATTTCTAATAGCGATGTTTTATATGGTAACATAATGAATTTAAAAAACGCTGTACGTTCTCAGATCTGCCCTGCTTCAAAGTGAATTTCCCAGTATCAGTCGCATCGTACGATATTTGCCAGAATTTATTTTAACAGAATCTTGCAAAAGGTGTCCACGCGTAAAAAAAAGGAAAAAAGGCGAAATGTTTCGTTATGTCAAACGATACGTTCTCGCCGAAGGTGCATATCTCGCCGTAACTTGTCCGGAGTAATTTACTAAAAGATTTCTCGAGCGTATCTTTTACTAAATCCAGTTAATCCTTTTGCGCCTAATGAATATATTTCATATAATTAAACACAAAAATTGGAAACAGACGATATATTTTGAATGTAGATCGACTATAGAGACGCAAGTAATTTGGAAAAAGGATGCGCTTACTTTGAAGAAGGGAACGGCTCAGTCATTTCGCGAAAAAGATAGAGAAGCTCGAGTGATGATAGATACTTTCTCAACGCTTTATTTAAAAGGTAACTTAATAGTACACGAATATTGACTTTTTAAGTTTTATGTAAAAACACAGTTAGAAATATATTTGTTTATTTATTCAAACGCATGACAAGAATTTTATAGTTTTTATGTGTATTACTTCTAAACTACATATTTTTTCTCGACAGACGTATCCCAAGAAGAACAAGGTAATTATACCTGCTACGTAAATAACATTAATATGATGCGCATGAAGATCATCGTTGTATCTAAAACTCAGCTTTTGACTCAAGGTCAGTTAAAACTTGCACAATAAAAATACATATAATAAAACACATAAAATATAACAAAAATAAAAATTTTATTATTAAATTATAGTTAATTGTAAAATGATTAGTATACATCACAAGTATATCAATTTTTTTTTATAAATGTATAAATTTATTCGTTTGTTGTTTTCTATAGCATTCTTTCGGCATTTGGGCTACTTGGGATTTATAATTTTTTTTACTTCAATTTGTTATTGTGGGGGTATAATAGTAGTCTGTCGACAAAGAAACAAATTTCAGCCCCTGCCGCAAGATGATCCTTCGGAAGAGGAAGTTGAGTGATATCATGATCAAAATGTAAATTATTTTGACACTATAAATTGATAATAATAATTACATGTTATATGTTAGAGATAAGATTTTTATTTTATTGTTAATCTTTTC